TACTATGGTGCAAAAAACTGCCATAGACAATATGTATGAATGAAGAGAGCATGAATAAAGCTTAATTTCTGGACATTGAAATATTTCATGTTATTTTCACTTCATGAGGCTTTCTGCAACCATTTAAAAAGTAAAGAAAAACTCCTTCCTCACTGGTTATACAAAAACAGGCAGCAGAACTCACTTTTAATAAAAGCAATTTAATGGAAGAATCCAACAAAAGATACCAGAGCAACCGGATATTGATGGAAAAGAGAAAGAGAACCACAAACTAAACCTTACACCTGCACAAAACTAACTCCAACAGATCACAATTTAAATGTAAAAGTTAAAATTATAAAACTTTTAGAGAAAAAAAAAACAGGAAAAAAACCTTGGGACTTTAGATGTGACACTGAAAACATTATTTATTAAGGAAAAAAATCAACAAATTGAACTTCAACAAAATTTAAAACTTTTGCTTATTTTACTTTGTGAAATATATTGTTAAGATAATACAAAGACAAGCCACAGACTGGGAAAAAAATACTTGCAGATGATGTCATTGCCAAAGGACTTGGGCCTGTAATATACAGACTGCTCAATAAAAAAAATTCTTAAAACACAATAATAAAAAAATTCATTTAGAAATGGGCAAAAGACATAGATATTTTACTAATGAGGATATATAAATGGCAAATGATGACATGAAAAGCTGATATCATTTTCCATGAGACCATGATGAAAAACCACCCCACATCTATTGAAAGTGCTAAAATAAAAACAGCTAAAACAATACCAGATATTGTCAAGAATGTGAAAAAACTTGATCTCTCATACAACATTAGTGGGAATGTAAACTAGTACACTCTAGAAAATAGTATGGTAATGTTTAAAAAAAAAAAAAAGCTTACAATATGACCAAGCAATCACAATCCCCAGAGAAATGAAAATGTACTTCCATACAAGAATCTGAACATAATTGCTTGTAGAAATTTTATTCATAAGAGGCCAAAACTAGGAACAACCAAAATGTCCTTCGATCAATAAATGGTTCAATAGGGGAACGATGGTACATCCATACTGTGGAATACTATTTAGCAAGAAAAGTAGAACATTATTAATACACATACCGCATAATGGATCTCACACCATGGTGAATCAAGATTATAATATTGTACGATTCCATTTATATAATATTCTCAATGACAAAAGTATCAAGATGAAGAACAGATTAATGATTGTCAGGGGTTAGAGAAAGGAGACAGAGGGAGTACCTAAAACTATACAAGTATAGCACAAGGAGAATCTTTCTGGAGGTGGAATGATTTTGTATCTTGACTACAGTGGTGGTTACACTAATCTACCCATGGTAAAAATGCACAGCACTACACATTGTACAAATATCAATTTCCTGGTATTGGTATTATACAATAGTTATGTAAGATGTAACCACTGAAGGAAACTGGTGAAAGGTAAGGACATCTCTGTACTATTTTTGCAATTTCCTATGAGTCTATAATTATCTCAAAGTGAAAAATTAAAATACTTTCTAAAAATCTTGATAAGCAAAAGGAAGACAGCTCTATAAGTAACAAGTGTCTATTCACTCTCCTTCAAGGACCAGGCATTAAAAATAATAAAAGCCAGTTTTTAAATAAGTGCCTACCATGAGCCAAGCACTATTTTTAGTGCTTTCTATACACTACCCCATTTAATCCACAAAACCTTATAACGAAAATGCCACAACCCCACTTTACAAATGGGAAAACTGAGGTTAAAATAATCTGTTCATGGTCACACTGTAAGTGGTAAGAGCCACAATTTAAACTCAGATTAACTCTAGAGGCATGTTTCCTGTACACAAAGGTAACCAAAAAAACATATGGGGATGTTGGGGGGACGGGACTACCAAACTGTGTGTAAGTCTGACATCAAACCAGTTTGTTTTCTCCCTCAGTTAAAATAGAGTTTTCAGAACTTTTAAAATACCAATGCATATCAGGAATCTAGAAACCTACATTATAATTTTTCCCACTCAGCCAAAAGTTAAAATATAAAATGGCCTAATCTTAACCCATCCTTCTTCTTACATGTTGGCAAACTACAGTTTTGAGAGCTGTACTATCAAAGTAGTGGTAGCTATCAGCCAAATGTGGCCAATTTTAAGAAAGAATTAAATAAATTTAAAAATTCAGTTTCTCAGTCACACTAGCTATATTTCAAGTCTGCTCAAGAGCCACACATGGTTACCATATTGCACAGCACAGATAGAGAACATTTCCATCATCTGAGAAAGTTCTATTCATCAGTACTGGATTAGAGACTTGTTTTTGTTTGCTTTTTTAAAGCGCATGGGATGCACGAAATGTTCAGAGAAGACCAACTTCATTGCAACCATAAAAGGGGGTAAGGTCAGATCTTTAAAGTCAGGTACTGCCTACAATGTTTAGGCACAAGGAAAAGATAAGAAGTGTGTCGGGGTGGGGAGGAATAAGAGAAAGCAAAATCATGCAGCTTGGCAATAAAGCTGAACTAAGATTCAGGAGTGTGGGTTCTACTGCCTATTAGGCCAATAATTGATTTAATTATTTTTTTTAATATTTGTGCTTGGTACTAATTAACTGTGAATTAATTAGATGAGTCTCTTCACTGTTTTGGGCCTTGGTTTCTTCTTCTATAACACAAATTTAGAACAAATAATTGCTAAGAATCCCTTTAGCTCTGTATGGATAAACACACACACACACACAAAGGTGGGGAATAAATAAAAGATCATTGCATATTGGTGGTGGAAACTGGCACTCCTGTCAACTTACCACAAGTTCTATGCCTGAAGATGAAATTTAGATACCACAAAATGAAGATTTAATTCTAGTCAATAAATCTTTATTAAACAATCATTTGTACCTAACCGCAGTATTTAGAAGTAGCACACAAAAAACTGGATAGCTCAAAGTTAAGCAAATATATGGAAAGAATGCAAGACTTCCAACATTTTAGATTGAAAAACTGGCGCATTAACATCTAACATTTTTCAATTTTGTATTGAAAAATTGGCTAATTAACATCATTAACATTCACATGTAACCAAACTGGAGATATAACGGATCATGTAGTCATATATTAAGTACAAACAAATGGCATAATCAAAAGCACACCTCATTTCTTCCACAAAGAATAAATAAATAATAAAATAATAAAAATAATAAATAATAATAAAAAATAAATGCTACAGGTAATTAGGAAAAAGACACTAATTCTGACCAATCTAATTTCTCTAGAACACACACTTACATAGCCCTATATTTTCCGGGTTGAATATTCTTGAGGATTATTGGAATTACATAGATTCTCCAATTGTGCTACACAGAATAAAATACAACTGCAATTCTTGTCCCTTCTACCTACTACACACTTTCCTCTTTTCAGAAGTTCTATTGGTCCTATTTCCTAGGGTCAAATGGGAGAGAAAACCTTCCCCCCCCCCCCCAATCCCCATTCTAAGAATTAAAACAGCCAATAAAAAAAAAAAAAAAAGAGTTTAAGCGATGTTTACCTCTAAGTTAAAAAAAGAAAAGGAAAACGTGTTTGATTTTTTTTTTTTAACCTTGCAGAAGCTAAGGCAACCAGTGAGTTGTGTAACCTCTGTAAGAAATCAAACTCATTAAAGTCCCGAACCAGACCCGTGACTATTTTGGAGCAGGGGATAGTTTAAGGAAAAAAAAAAAGAAAAGAAAAAAGAAAGAAAAAGAAAAAAAAAAAGATTTCCAGGAAGGAAAGCAGGGAGAAGAGATTTTAGAGGCAAGCCTTTACTTCAAAAAGGCAGTTTTTAGTTTTCCACCTATTAATCCAAAGCCAAGAACCGCGCGGCGCGGAAACCCTGCGGATTTTGAAAACAAACGTTGCGAGGCTCCGGGGGATTGCAAAGGGGGCTGGTAACTGACAGCTCGGCCTCGGAGCGAGAAGCCTCAAGTAGGTCAAACTGTGACCACGGCCTGAAGTCCAGAGTCCATCTCAGTGGGCTCAGGGGAGAAGAGCAGCAGGAGGGAATAAGGGTTTGGCGTCTTTCAATCCTAAAGGGGCGGGATACCAGAACCAAGGGACCTAGAACCCCAGTCCCAGCAGTTCGCCTGCTCTCACCTCTCTTGGGGGCCTTGATCAAAGGCACCCCTCCAGTCCTCTCGCCGTTTTCCTGCTTTTCCTTGTGCTTGAGATCGCCCGGAACGCAGGAGCTGGGGTCACCATCAGCGCCGCGGTGGTGATGGTGCTTGTGCCGCTCCTTGTGGCCCTTATGCTTGGGCCCGGCCGCGCTCACCGTCAGGGGCGAGAAGGTGAAGAGGGCCGAGGTGCCTGGGGCCGGGAGCGGAGCAGCGACAGCGGGCCCGGCGGGAGCCAGCGAAGGTGGCGGCGGAGGCGGCAGGAGCAGAGGCTCAACAGGGCCCTGGACGGTTGGGGCAGCATTCGTTGGCGGCAGCGGCCCGGGATGTTGGCGACTGCGACGCCGCCGGTGAGGGGGAGCGAGAGGGGGGTCCTGGCTCGGCCGCCCCCGCTTCTCCTGAGACCCCCCACTGCTTGCCCGGCGCTGCCGCTTCACTCCCCGCGGCGAGACCCCAGCATGGGGTTTCTCCTTTCCCTCTTTGTCCGGCTCCTCCTGCGCCGCCACCGCCCGTACTACGCGCACTGCTCCGACCTGCGCAGCCATTTCACCCACAAACACACATTTAAATGGCCCGACCGCCCCCCCGTCCGTGTATCGCGCAAGCGCCGCCCGCGCACGGCCCGCTGGGCATTGGAGTCTCTCCCCCACCCTCCACTTGTCGGCCGTTCTTCGTGAGGAGCTGAACATGCCGGAAGCAGCAGTTCCCAGCGCTTCTCCGCAGGCCTCTCCAACCGAGCTTCTATTGTAAAGCGTCCTGGGCCGCGCAAAGCCTCGCGGGAGCGGTAGTTCCGCCGCGCCCCGCGCCGCGTCCCCGGCTCTGTGAGTGGAGGAGCCGAGAGGGAGCGTGAGCCGAGAGGGAGCGTGCGCCGAGTCACGCTTCGGGCTGCGACGCAACCGCCGCCGGCCGGCGAGTTGCCGCCAACCGCCTTAACGGCCCAAACAATGTTAGTGGCTTTCAGTGTGGCGGCGCGTTCACGTTATCGTCTTCCAGTCCCTTTCGTCATTTGATACGGAGTAGGTGGTCTCCATAGTGACTTTTAAATTTCACATTTCTTTGATAACCTTTGTGAGGTAAAAGAATCTCCGGCCTTTTACCCTTGACAAAACGAAGGGGGAAAGAGSAGTTAGCACTTGTGTAAAAATGACGGCAGTTTTGTTCCCAAATGTAAAAGGGCTGCGAGTCGGAAGTGTATTTGCTTTGGTTACTACGAAGGCAGGTGCACGAACCGCTTGGGAGCCGGGTGAGTGCGGTCCCCCCTCGCCACCAGCCGCAGCCCCGCGAATGCAGAAAAGCTAGAGTCCAGCATTTATTTTGAATATACCCCTACAGCTGGGGGGGGGGGGGTGAAAATTAGAAAATTGTAACAAGATTTTCTTTTGAAGTCCTAGGTATTAAGTTGCACAAATTTGAAAAGTGTCTACCAGAGAACCCTCCAAAAATCGTCGCTGTTCACCAAGGGGCGGTTGTTGCTCAGAAATTCATTAAGAAACTCATCACTTGGGCATTTGCCTAAGATTCTTTGAACGTATGTGGTCCTTGACAACGATATTATTGGTTACAATGATGTACTCGGTAGATAAAATTACTGTGGTTTGATACCACTAGTTCCTGGAAAATATTTACTTCGGCTAAAAGAACACTAATGCATTAAGTTAGTTTAAAAACAAAAAGTTTATTTTCTACCTATTGGGTACATTGTACTACAATACACAGGTAACAATGTATCCTTCAGTTTGCCCTATAACTAGCCTTGTTAATGAAAAATATTAAGAGCAARTGATATGTAATACTGTTTCTAAAAGTTATAAACAAACTTTTAAAACGAGGTTACGTCATTAGGGAAAGTACGAGGACTCCTTTGTAATAATAATGACCTTCTAACTTATTGGCTACATAAAATTAGGTTTGAAATACCACATTTTGTTAAGACAACTCCATGTTTATACAGAAATTTAAACTATCAGTACCTTTGGTTGGATATAAATTGTAAATATTTATATAGAATATTTTATATGAAGATGTTAACAAAAGATAGCTATTTCATTGATTACTTATCTAGGACTGGGAATTGAGTAACTTTGGTTAAAATGTACCCCAATGTACGTTATATAACGTCTTGTTAGTTGGTAAAGCCAATTTTTAAAAAATGAGTATTATTATTTGCACATTTTATTCTCTAACTTCTTACTACTCTGCTTTCCCACAATATTTGGGAAGATATGTGAAGTATAATCCATTTAGGTAAAAATAACTCCCCCAAAATAGTTATTGTCAGAAGCAGTAGTTTTATACAACTGCAAGGTCAGATTTTTTTTTTAACTTCTTTTTTTTTTCTTTTATACTAAACTCTGACAGTGTAAAACCTCAATTGAGGTCTGGTTCTTACAAACCTCTTAAATTTATATTTATGCTAGGTGAGGTGGTGTGTACCTATAGTGCCATCACTGGAGAGCTGGGGGTAAGATCACTTGAGACCAGGCAGAGCAGCATAGCAAAACCCAGACTCAAGAATACCCAAAACAGACAGCCTTGGTAGTGCAGGTCTGTAATCCCAGTGTCTCTGGAGRCTGAGGCAAGAGGATCCAGAGTTCAAAGCCAGACTCAGCAACCTATCAAGGCCCTGAGCAACTCAGCAAGTCTCTGTCTCTAAATAAAATATAAAAAGGGTTTGGGATGTGGCTCAGTGTTTAAGCACCCCTGAGTTCAATCCCCAGTACCAACAAAAGAAACCCCCAAACAAAAAATGTGCATTTAAATAGGATAACTTCCAAAAATGAAAAAGAAATCCATTTTAAATTTTTTCATATACCATTCTCTACAACATAAGCTTAAATCACAACCTTTTATTTGCAGTTTCCCATCCAATGTAAGATATGAAAATACAAAATTGCTGGCATTTTTTTTCATATTGCTTTTCTGTTGAAAACCACTAACATATTAGCATATCTTCATTTTTTTAATATTATGAATATTTAGCATTTATTTTAGCTAGTGTATTCCAGTAGTTTTATTGCAGATTCAGTCTATATTATAAATTCAGAGTTTATCAAATGTTCCAAGTTGATGGTGGGTTCCTTGGTCCTTTGGGTTTTAAAAAACGATTTGCAAAACCTGGAAACAAAAATAAAATGGAATGAAATGGATTTTTTTCAATAGAAAGATAAATTTTAGACTGTATTATAGGCAGATTCATGGATTATTTTCAAAGGGTGAAACAGCTCTGAGCAATTAAATGATAGATTATAAGAGCATTATAGTAACTAAAGCTTAAGTGATAACAATAGAATACTTTTTAAAATTTTTTATTTTATTTTTGTGGTGCTGGGGTTTGAACCCAGGGTCTTATTATATGTTAGACAAGTGCTGTACCCACTGATATACACACCCAACCCAAATATTAATATTTTAAATGTGTAGAGAACATTTAGTATGTAAATTTAATAATGGTAATAATTGAATGAAGAACCCTGGTTAAAATAGCCTTTGATAATTTAGTGCATAATAGCATTTATCTAACCAATCATCACAAAACTAAACACAGTATTAGTAATTAAATAATCATTTTTATTTATCTTTCTTTCTCAAATTCACTCCCCCTACTACCACAAAGAAGAAGGATGAGGAAATCTTTCAAAGAATCAAAGCTATTGAGGAAGGAGGGAAGGGAAAGAGAAATTAGTGGGGAAGGGAACTAACCAAACTATATTGTTATTCAGTGTGCGTTACAAATATGTAGCAACAAATTCCAGTATTATAATGCATCAATAAAAAAGTTGAAAAAAAGAATGAAGGCTACTTCTTGATGCTTTCAAAAGATTTTTAGGTTGATGACGTTCTTTATCCCTTGCAATATTATGTCTTTTCTTTGATGGTGGTATATTTTCAAGGTATCTTAGCACTTAGCAACTTTAAGTGCTTAAATTGAAAATGAAAAGTTTGGAATACAGAGAGAGAACAAATAATAGAAAATTCAGATATTCCTGAACTTTTAATTTCATCATCTTACTTAATAACTACTCATAAGTTACCTAAAACAAAAACTATATCAGAACTAGAAGAGTAGAGATGGAGAAAAGAAGATTAAAAAAAAAAAGGAAGGAAACCACTAAAAATTATGCAGTGATTTAAAATATTGGAGAGGAATGCACAGCCTACTTGATGTACATTTTACTCTGATAACAAGAAAAATGATTCAGGTTAAGTAGCTGCACATAATAGTCAAAATCATCTCATCAATAAATCTTGACTGTAACCCAAGTGGGTTGGGAATAAAAGGATGTGTTTCCTGACCACTTCAAGTATCTTAAATTTCAGTGATTTTATATATATATATATATATATATATATATATATATATATATATATATATATATATATATATATGTAATTCAGTCTCTTTCACTGGTCAGTTCTCAATAGTGTTGAGAAGCCTTTTTCTCTTTTTTTTTTTCCCTGCATGTGAGTCAATTCAGGAAAAATAAACCACAATTTTGAGTAGCATATCCTTATAATTTTTATTGCCTCTTATGAAAGGTAGCAAAGAAAAATACATGCTGCTTTTCAAATAGATAAATTATTCAAATCTAGGCATATTTGAAAAGAAGCACAGACTGTGTTGTAAAGTTAGGTGGACCTTAAGTTACTCAAGTGGGATCACTAATTTAAAGAAAAGAAATAGAAAACATTTATGTCCCAGGCAAAGTTGGGTGCCTCTTCCATAGTTTATTCAATATTCTAAATGAATGTTTTCAACTAAATTATTTTGTACAACCATAACTTGTTAAAAGTATAATATTTTAAACTGGACAAAACTTAATAGCCAAAAAGCAGCTCCAGAGATTCTAATTAAAATATTTTCTCTAAGTGAGATAGGGGCCATAACCCAGGTGCTGCTTCTGCACCAAAATCTTTCTCTGCTTCTTCCTCAGAAATAAAATTACATTGTGTAGGGCTATGGCTGTGGCTCAGTAGCAGAGCACTTGCCTTGCAGTGTGGGGCACTGGGTTCAATCCTTAGCACCACATAAAAAAAAAATGTTATGTCCATCTACAACTAAAAATAATTTCTTAAAAAGTTACACTGTATATATCTGCTCAGCAATATTAACACTTGCCAGTCTCTTATAATTTAGTTATATCACATCTAAGTTCTCTTCAAAGGAATATGAGCTGACATGATATTGCTACATAAAGCCAGTGTCTTAAGACCAGAAGAGGAAGAAGAAACCACATCTCTTGGTATTTGAAGTTGTTTCATACTATAAAGGAATAATTTACATGATTTTTWAAAACTGCCGTAAAATAGCACATACCAAAATTCGGAAAGGAGCTTGAGTTATTTGGCTGAATAGATTCTGCAGGCTTGCTTGGTGGGGAAGAACTACAGATATCTGTAATGAAAAGAAAAAACACAAGGGAAAGAATGAAGATAGATTACTATTTATCAAAGTGCATATTGTTGAGATTAAACATTTCTTCCAGAGTAACCAGCACTTCCAAATAAATACATCGGCATCAAATGTTAAAATATAGGTGCTTATAGATAGGTTGATATTATAATCTCGTTTATGTGATGTTTCTTTTTTAAAAAAGGGTTTTTTTGTTTTGTTTTGCATAAGACTATTTAGTAAAGCCCAATACTAAGGGAAATTACCAAAGGAATAAGAACCATCATATATAATTAATCAATTTCTTGGGAGATTCAGATTTTTGTCTTTGAACTTCCATCTTATTTTATGTACTCTTAGTACACTCCTAGATATCCACATTAATTTATGGCAAGTCTGATTTTTCTTAACATTATCCTCTATTCCTGGAATCTCTTTCACTGTTCACTCCACTTTCCAGCCTACTTTTTTCCCACCATAGATAATTCTAATTTAGGTTCATAGTCTCCCACAAGCACTGTTGTGCAGCTTTGTTTTGCTATTTTAGTTACTTATATGTAGGCTTAAAAATATAATTGTCTTCCCAGAACTTCAATATGTACATGTATCAGTTTCTACCCAGTTTTGAAAACAATCCAGTGAAAATTTTGCTCCACATTTTGCATATGCACTGTCTTACAATGAAAAATGGTAATTTAAGGTTTGTGTATACTTTCTGACAAAGAGTATATAAATGGAAAGAAATTATTAATTTTTTTGTTTTTTTTGTTTTCAACACTTCAAAATGCAATGCAAAAAGTGTTTGCACATACATAAATAATACTAGGATTCTAGAAACACCTTCCCCTTTTGAGACATACTGGAATACAAATTACTGGAATATATAATAGATTTCAATCATATTCAGTTAACTAATACTTAACTGTCTCAAGCATTGGCACTAAGAATAGACATGAGGTGAGGAAGTTCAGGAGATATTAGTAATCTGTAGATTTGCATGTAAACTCAGAGATGTAAACATCCCTCAGAAAGAAAAGAAACTATCCCAAAGGGAAATATTGATTTATTACAAAAGAGGCAAAGATTCTGCATGTGTCTATTAGAGTGAACTAGCTTATCTAAGGTATTTTTATGGTATCTGCCCTACATGCATTCCCTCTTCTGAAAATAGAACTTGAATTTTCCTTTTCATCCTTCCCTAATTTTCAGTTTTCTACATTTCTGGTGAACTGATTCTACTTTTAGATCAATGAAATGACTAATAACTAGGGTCCATTTTCATTGTTTTTTTTTTTTTAAGAGAGAGTGAGAGAGGAGAGAGAGAGAGATAGAGAGAGAGAATTTTTAATATTTATTTTTTAGTTCTCGGCAGACACAACATCTTTGTTGGTATGTGGTGCTGAGGATCGAACCCGGGCCGCACGCATGCCAGGCGAGCGCACTACCGCTGAGCCACATCTCCAGCCCCTATTTTCATTGTTTTGTACTTGGTACATTAGCATGGTCATACCAGATTTGTAGGTCTGATCTCTCTCCTAATTAATCAGTGTCCACGTGTAACAACTGTTAAATATCAGATAGGATGTTGTTCTGCCTAATATTGAGTATATTGGTAAGAATTGATTCAGGAATGGACAAATGGACCAAGCCAAGAATCAGACCCAATTAGCACTGGTCATCAGACTGTTGCTTCAGCAACCCAGAAAGGGCTAATCTTTTTCTTTTTCTTATTTTTTTTTCTTGACACAAGCCACATGGTAAAATCCTGCCTATGAGTATGCTATCACAGAATGAAACAAATCTGAGAGTTATGGAATGAGAAATTATGTTCTGATTATATCATTCAAACCTGTGGTTAAAAGCCAATTCTTTTCTGMTTAAATCAGCTCAAATTGGGTTTTCTGTCACTTGCAACTATATTTCTTTTCTTCTTTTGTACTGGGTATTGAACCCAGGACACTCTAATATAACCCATAAGAATCTCACTACTTCTCCCCTGTCTTTCCATCTTTCCTGACTTAACCTTAGTTTTCTCTCTTCTTTCCTTACTGCTCTGCTGCTCTGATGGCTTCATTTGAGTTCCTATAGCGTACAAAACTCTCACACCTCAGTTTGTACATAATGTTCTCTGTATCTAGAGTCATCTCCCCATTCTTTGCCTGGCTAGCTGTTCCTTCATGTCTCAGATTCAACTGTCATTTCCTTAGAAAGTACTAAGTCCTGGGCCACCTCTTCTAAAGTGGATCCCCTGTGTTTTTCTCTCTATAATTCTTTTGTTTTCCTTCATAGCATTTACCACAATATGTTATGTACACATTTGTGAATTCACTTGTTTGATATCTGAATCCCTCAATAAACTTAAATTCTAAAAAAAGTCCAGGGCTGGGGATGTGGCTCAAAGCGGTAGCATGCTCGCTTGGCATGCATGCTGCCTGGGTTCGATCCTCAGTACCACATACAAACAACGATGTTGTGTCCGCCGAAAACTAAAAAATAAATATTAAAAAAAAAATTTTCTCTCTCTCTCTGTCTCTCTCTCAAAAAAAAAAAATTCTCTAAATAAATAAATAAATAAATAAATAAATAAAGTCCAACAGCTGATATCTGGTCTATTCACCATCATATAACAAGTGCCCTGCACAATGCCTGGCTCACAGTAGGTGCTCAAAAAAATACTTGTTGAATGAATGAATGACAACTTAGATAACAGCATAACAGATGAGAAGTGCTTATTTCATTAAAAGCTTTACAGATCGGTAAGAGATAGCAAGTCTAGAGAGAAACAGGGAATTCTGGAGTCACCAACCATCTAGAGGTGTGGAAGACACATACATGAGTATAGATTGGTAAATCTAAAATTTTCAGAATCAATTTGGGGGCTAGATATTGTTCTTCACTTAAGGGCAAAAGATTACAGGATCAAGGTAGTTAAAAAATGGAAATACAGCCCAGCCTACATCCAGAGAATGACCTAGGAGCTCTTACTTAGAAATAAGACTCAGTCTCTAAAGAGTCCCACCATATCCTGAAACTGTGCCAACATAAATCTACCTAGAGTCTGTGCTTTCTTTATTGATATCCCTATACAGTGTTAGATCTTGAAAAAAGAAAATTGGGTGTTTCATAAGCTAAGCAGATCAAATCCATCTTTGGTTGACTGCTCAATTCATTAATTTCTTGGCTCTTTAATTTCTCCTGTTTTCTACCAGAATTTCCTCTTTTATATTCAAAAGTACCCCTACAGGTTTTATGCTAATTGAAATGTTTAAATTCTCTCTTGAATGATGAGGAGAATGATGATATATTTTATAACCTCTCTAGCCATCATGGTTTGTAAGAAATCAGTGCACTTTAGACGTCCACTATGATGGCAAATGATAACAAACTATCAACAATCTGTAGTCTATAGCTAGTACAAACTCAGAAGAATAAAGTAATATTCCACTATAACTTTCTTACTTAGTCTATACTTTAAATCAAGTTTTCTCAGTGCTCTTTGTCCCTCCCTATAGCACTATCAACTATTTATTCCTTCATGACTAATTGAATTTGTAGGAGGTATATCATCATGTTTTATATACTTTGTTTGTAAATAAGGATTTTTAAGATAATATCCCAAAGTTTCAAGAGTCTGAGTTTTATTTTCATTACAACATAATGAAAATAGTAAGCAACAGACTTTTCCTGCTAATAATACTTGATAAAAATGGAAATGTGTCAATGCTTTGCTTATTTCATTAAATCAACACATTTGTTTCACAATATGCTTTGCTGTGACTATTTTCAAAAAAGTTAGACTTCTGGAAGTTTTAAATAACACATTTGTATGACAGCATCTCAAGATGGGTAAAACATTGTACTGCTGAGTACTATGGTGCTCACCTATAATCCTGCCAGCCTGTGAGGCTGAGGCCAGAGGATCCCAAGTTCAAAGCTAGCCTCAGCAACTTAGTAAGGCCCTAAACAACTTAGAGAGACCCTCTCTTAAAATAAAAAGTGCTAGAGATGTTACTCAGTGGTAAAGCGCCTCTGGGTTCAATTCCTGGGACCAAAAACAAACAAACATTGTACTAATTATTATCCTATTAACAAAAAACATTTGGTCCCCTTACTCCCTGTCCAATGTGAACATTGTGGAACCCAGCACAGTACAAGGTGCAGAGGTGACTGCTCTGATTCATAAGGCCCTGTTTTAGGAATGATAATATTCATTTTTTCCACAAGGAGGCTATAAAAAGAAAATAAATGATAGATATTGTAAAAAATAATACACAGAAACTTACTCTTTTTCATGTTTCTCAAAATTTTCAAACTCTACAAAAGTGAAGAAAGGAAAAAGGTTAGTTTGTTTCCCTATAAAAATTCAAAATATTTTAACAAATAGAAATATAAATTTAAGTAAAAAGGATTAATTTCCTTAAAAACAACCATGAAAACTGCATAATTTTTTATCTTTCCATTTTTAATTCAGTGTACAATTTCCACTTGATTATATCTTGCTATTTTTACCATAAAACTATCCATACCACAAATTTAGAAATAATGCTATTAGAATGTCAGGAGTAAAAATTAAGTTTCCACTTTTCTCATTTATTAGGAGCATTCCAGAACCCACAATGACTTCTGCATATAGCACTGATAGATAACCTTTCCCATTCCAGCCAAGAATTTTTCCAGCCAATCATGTTTTATTATATTCAGTTTACTTAGGCCCACTCCCTTACTATAACTATGATACTTCCTTCTCACCATTCAGCCAGCCCTTGTCCTTGGTCAGCCTCCTTTATAGAGGCATCTTCTTCAGGAACCCACCCAAATTTCTTTTTTATTCCACATTTCCTCTGCATGTATGTTTTTAATCTGCTCCATTCTTACTTTATTGTTTTTAATAATTTTCATATAGGTATCACATAGTTATTCTGTCTAATAACCATACAGGCAAGTGTTATTATTTCTCCAATACCTAACAGAACCACAATCTTCCATATAATAGATAATTAAGAAATTATTTTTTTGGAAATTTTTAGATTTTTAATAACTGATTTACCAGGCACAATGGTACACACCTGTAATCCCACCAGCTTGGGAGGCTGAAGCAGGAGGATCTCAGAGTTCAAAGCTAGCCTTAGCAATGGAGAGACACTAAGCAACTCAGTGAGACCCTGTCTCTAAATAAATACAAAATAGAGCTGGGGATGTAGCCCAGTGGTTGAGTGCCCCTAAGTTCAATCCCCAGTACTTGGGGGGGAAAAAGTAATTTACTTATGATTCAAAAATTTTAGTGAAAATGTTCCCATTCAAACTGGGCATGGTGGCACATACCCATAATAACATCTACTCAGGAGGCCAAGGCAGGGGGATCACAAGTTTGAGTCTAGCCTGGGCAATTTAACAACAACAAAAATAGAGGCTGGGGAGGTAGCTCAATGGTAGAGTACTTGCCTGGTATCTGAGAGGCCATGGGTTTAATCACAAGTTCCACTAAATAAATAAATAAACTCCCATCATTGTCCTCTGTCTACCTAGTTTCTAATGCTCCCCCTGCCCCATAGTAGTAGTTAGTTTGTTATATGTCCTTCCAGAGTTACTTAATGGATATACAAGTAAACTTATAGATAAATCACATTTCCCCCTTTTAAGCAAAAGTAAGTATTTTTAAGAATATTGAGAGTCTTCATTCTTTTTTTAGCTACATAGTATTCTGTTTTATATATATATATATATATACACACACACACTATAATTGGTTTCTTTATCAGTTCCCCTAATGATTAACATTTGTGTTGTTTCCAATCATTTGCTTATAAATAATGCTGAAATCAATACTTGGTATACATACAATTTCATGTGCATGCAAGCTTTTGTGTAGAATAAATTCCTAGAAGTGAAATTGTTAGGTCAAAGGATATATGTATTTGTAATTTTTATACTACTAATTACCCTTTACATAAATTGTACCATTTCATACTCTCACCAACAAAATAGGTGTATGCTTATTTCCCCATAGCATCCCTAACAGAGATTATAGTCAAACTTTTGGAATTTGCCACTCTGATAGATTAAAAGCAACATTTTTTTCATTTGTGATTTTCTTTCTCTTATTGTATGAGGTTGAGAATATCAAATGTTTAAAGGGCAGAACATACTTCATTTGTTTTCTTTTTTCTTAAGAGAGAGAATTTTTTAATATTTATTTTTTAGTTTTCAGTGGGCACAACATCTTTGTTTGTATGTGGTGCTGAGGATCAAATCCGGGCCGCACGCATGCTAGGCGAGCGCGCTACCGCTTGAGCCACATCCCCAGCCCTTCATTTGTTTTCTTTGAAATATCTGAACATGTATTTTTTACCCATTTTTATTTTASGGTTATTATTCTCTGTTAATTTCTAACAACTCTTAATATTTATTTTTTAGTTATAGTTGGACACAATACCTTTATTTATTTTTATGTGGTGCTCTGGGTTGAACCCAGGGCCTCACACATGCTAGGCAAGCACTCTATTGCTCAGCCACAACCCCAGCCCTTTAGCAGCTCTTTTTTTTTTTTTTTTTTTTAACTATAAACCAACTTTTTTTTTTAACTATAAACTATAAAAAAAAAACTTTATGGGTTTTATGCCAATTGCAAGTATATTTTTCTCCAATTTGTTCTTTGTCTTTTGTTTTTAAGGTGATTTTTGGGGGGGAGACAATGCAGAATTTTGTGTTTTATTTGGTTGAATTTATATGTCTTTTTCTTCATAGCTTCTGGTTTATTAATCCCAATTATAAAGGTCATTAATACTCCAGGAATCTTTCCAAGGAATCTTTCCAAGTTATTTTTTTTTTTAAATACCTCTATAAGTTGGGAGTTTTGTGTTTATTTGCTTGCTTGTTTTTTAAAATTTAAATCCTTTAGCAATCTAGAATTTATTCTGGTGTAGATGTGAGTTATATATCCTGCCTTTTTTCCCCTAGGTAGTTGTTTATTTAATGCAACCACAATTATTAAACCATCCATCCTTATCCTCTGATTTGGGATATGCCTTCATCACAGACTAATTCCTACATATATCTTTATCTATTCTCTTTCTATTCTTTTGGTGGTTCTTTTCATACACCAATATCAGACTATTTTAATTACTGAGACTTTACAATATTTTAATATCTAGTAAGGATACTCTCTTTTCATTATATTTATTTGTTTATTTATTTCCTTGCTTGCTTATTTGCAGTTTTCTGGCTATTCTTGGTTTTCCTTCCTCTACACATATGAACTTTAAAATCAGTTTGTCTAGTTCCAGTAGTAAAGAAGTTGGTAGTTTCATTAAGCATCTCTTAAATTTATTAATCAGCCTTAGGGAGAAATAAATTCTCAAAGTATTTTTTTTCTTCATTTTGGCTTCTGTTAATTTTGATTATCATGAGATAAACAGTTTTAGTAAAGAGGTTTAATCTAATTTTCTATCTAAATGCTGGGGAAGAGAGAAACCTTTAGTAAGGAAAGCTACTGGCATGTTTCCTAAATCTCCAATCTTCTTTACCTTACTCCTTGTGAAGCTTTTTCCTGAAGTCTTCAATGTTTGTTTTGAAGATGTTGAATTTTTCATCATTTCAGAACAGCTAGTAGCATAAGTTTCTACAGATTTGGCCTGCATACCTTGAACAAAGATAAAAGGGGGGAAAATGTTTTATTGCATAGTTTCTTAAGCTTTTAGGATATACATAGATATATATTCAGATATACTCAGTAATTCTTGACTTTCTTTGGCTTTATTTTTACTATATATTGTGGGCTTTAGAAAATTTGTTCTTTTAGCTCAGTGGAAGAGCATTTGCCTACCCTGCATGAGGCACCTGGGTTTGATACCCAGCACTGCAGAAAAAAAAAKAATATTTATTCCTTTATCTTATTTAATCATTCTTTGTTGTTTTCCATTTGGTCTTTATTAACCTTTTAACATTCTCAATTTTATAACTTTTTTGGAAAGAAAGTACTGCAACTTACAATCTTCATCAGCAAGAAAGAAGGATTCTAAGGTTCTTTCTGGGAGTGGAGGTGGTGAGGGAGAAGAATCTTGATGGAAATCTATAATGAGAAAAGTATACAACAAAACAAAACTATCAGCTAAAAGTCTTAATGTCAAGACCTTTTTGGCTAAGCCAGGCACAGGCACGGTGGCACACGCCTGTATTCCCCACAGCTCAGTAGGCTGAGGCAGGAGGAACGTAAATTCAAAGCCAGCCTCAGAAAAAGCAAAGTGCTAAGCAACTCAGTGAGACCCTGTCTCTAAATAAAATACAAAATAGGGCTGGGGATGGGCTCAGTGATCCAGTGCCCCTGAGTTCAATTCCCTGTACCCACCCCCACAAAAAAGAAAGACTTTTGGCTTTATTTAACTTTTATAATTAATTTTATAATTAATTAACCAGAACCTCAAGACTTTGTTCTCCTCTCTCTTTAGCCAGTATGTCTATGATTCATCAAAAACTTATAGCTCACTTGCAGATGAATTCTTCCAAAGAAATTGAAACTGAATTTAATCAAGCTTCTAATCCTAACTCCTATTTGACAGGGAAATCCAGGAAATAGAGGAACATATTAAATAAAATCTGAAAGTACATTTAGTCAGATTCAGAATTTTAAGCAGTCTTTAGTATAAATGTTCCACTCCCTTCAAGAAATACATGAGAAAATATAAAAAGGAAAGAACTGTTAAAGATTTTAAAAATACTTAGGTAATATATAAACCCAATGCAATGTATAGACTTTGTTTGAATCCAGATTCAAATAAATCAACATAGGAAGACATTTGAGACAAGTGGAGAAAACTGAACAGTTTCAATGTTATATTAAGAAATTACTATTAACCCCAAAACAATTAATAATAATATTATTATGGTAGGTTTAAAATATATTTAGAATACTCCATAATAAAGAATTTTAAATAACAGAGCTATTTTCCCATGATGTAAACTCCTAAAGATTCAGATGATGTTCCATTGACATAAGCTTCTCRTTATACAGTGCTGAGTATTGTTAATATTATGTGCCTGGGTTCGAGCCCCAGTGGAACCATAACTAATAGGAAGTTCTCACTTTTGGGGCTGAGATTGTGGCTCAGCGGTAGAGTGCTCATCTAGCACGTTCGAGGCCCTGGGTTCGATCCTCAGCACCACATTAAAATAAAGTAAAGGTATTGTGTCCAACTACTTCTAAAAAATAAATATTGTAAAAAAACATTATGTGAATACCTTTGAAAATGAAAGTGCAGTTAAGTATTATTGTTTCACCTGTCATTGGTCACTGGACTTTTTTCAGGTCTTTGAATTTGTCTATTAAGCAAGTTTTCTTGTTTATTTCTCTATGCTGGGTAATATGTAAAAGTACAATACTTATTTCCAGCACCTAATATAATAACTGGCATATATAGGCATTTAATAAATATTTGATAAAGTAGTTTATCATTTAGTTTGCTATTAGGAAGTATTCTGAAAACTATAGCTGTCAACTATATCTGCTAGAATAAATTAAAAATATCCTAGCAGATATCTTCCTAAAATACAATTTCATCTGAATACTCCACTGATGAAGGATTCACAGTATTGATTATTTACTGCATTAACACTGAATTTCTAGCAGGGTACAGTGGCACATCCTTGTAATCCCAGTATCTCAGGAGACTGAAGCAGGAGGATTATAACTTTGAGGCCAGCCTGGGCAATTTAGCAAGATCCTGTCTCAACATAAAAAATTAAAAGGACTGGGGATGTAGCTCAGTAGTAGTGAGTTCCTGGGTTAAATCCCCAGTAGTGCAATTAAAAAACAAACAAACACAAAACTAAATTCCTCTGGCTATCTTTGTGTATGTGGTAAAATATACATAAGATTTATCATTAGTACATTCACAGTATTGTGCAACTAACACCACTAATTCCAGCACATTTCCTTTACTTCCAAAAGGAAATTCTGTACCCATTAAGTAATTACCCTTTATTCCCTCTTTCCCCTAGCCCTAGGTAAACTCTGATCTGCTTTGTGCTTTATAGATTTGCCTGTTATAGAGATTTCATCCAACTAGCTTTCAGGTCCTTCAAATCTTGTTAAACTGCCCAGGCTGGCCTCTAACTTGTAATTCTTCTACCTCAGTCTTCTAAGTAGCTGGGATTACAAATGTGTACTACTGCTCCTGAAAAGTTAAAGAATTAAATGAGCAGAAATAATTTTTGAGACTTGCATTATTAATGATGGTAAAATCTATATAATAGAATGCTACTAATTTTTTAAACTAAATTTATTTATATGTGACTGCATGAMCAATATGGTTCTGCAACATGTACACTCAGAAAAATGAGAAATTATATCCCATCGATGTTTGATATATCAAAGTGCATAAATGCAATCTACTGTCATGTATAATTAATTAAGACAAATAAAAAATTTTAAAATTTTTATTTTAATAAAATAAAACTGTACATATTAATGGAGTATACAATGTGATGTTTTGATACATGTATACAATGTGTAATGTTTAAGCCAGGTTAAATAAATCTATCTCCTCTAATGCATATCATTTCTTCATGATAAAAACATTCAAAGTCCTTGATTTTTACCTTTTGAAATATACAGTGTATAATTGTTTTTGGAGTCACCCTGCTATGCACTAGTACACCAGAACTTTATACTCCTATCTAATTATAACAATATCCACTGTGAAAATCTCCAGTTTCATCCATGTTGTCACAAGAATTTCATCTTTATTATGGCTGAATAGTATCACATTGTGTATACGTGCCGTATTTAATTTATCCATTCATCAGTGGATGGAAACTTAGTTTGTTTTTGTTTCTGTTTCTTAGCTATTGTGCATAATGCTGCAATGAACATGGGAGGGCAGATATTTAACATACTGATTTCATTTTCTTTGGATACAGATCCAGTAGTGGGATTGCTGGGATATATGGTATTCTAACTTAAATTTTTAGGAACTTTCAAAATGTTTTCACTAATGGCTATGCTAATTTACATTCCCACCAATCTCCCATTCTGTAGGTTATCACGTCACTCTGATGGTTGTTTCCTTTGCTGTACTATTTATTTTTTTATTTATTTATTTTTGCCCTTTATTTATTTATTTATTTATTTATTTATTTATTTTTGCCTTTCTATATTTTTGGAGTCTTGTCCAAAGAAATCCTTGCCTATTCCAATGTCCTGAAGCATTTTCCCTGTGTTTTTTCTAGTAGTTTCATAGTTTCAAGTCATACATTTAAGTCTTTAATTTATTTTGAATTGATTTCTGTAACTGGAGAGAGATAGGAGTCTAGTTTCATTCCTGTACGTGTGGGTTTCTGGTATGGTTTGGATATGAGGTGTGCCCCCAAAGCTCCTGTTTTAATGCAGGAATACTTGGAGTTTATGTAAAGTGACTGGATTGTGAGAATAGTTTACAATCAAACCAACTGGGTGGYAACTATAGGCAAGGGGGCATGACTGGAGAAGGTAGGTCACTTGGGGTATACCGTGGAAGGGTTCATCTTCCCTGAGGCCCGTTCTCCTTTTTCTCTCTGCTTTCTGGCCACTTTAGTAGAGCAGCATTCCCTTTACCACACCCTTTCACCACAATGTTCTGCCTCACCTTGAGCCCAGAGTAACTGAGTTGGTCCACCAGAGGCTGAACCTCTGAAACTGTGAACTAAGATATTTACTAACGTTCCCAGCACCATTTATTAAAAATACTATCATTTTTCCAATTCATATTTATAGCATCTTTGTTGAAAATCAGTAGATGAATGAGTTTTCTTCTAAGATATCTATTATTTTCTTCTGGACTATGTGTCTGTTTTTAATGTCAATATTATGCCATTTGGATTACTATAACTTTGCAGCATATTTTTTAGTATATTTTGAAGTTAGGTAGTATAATGCCTTTTGCTTTGTTTTTTTCTCTTTATTAAATTATTTATTCTAATTGTTATATATGACGGCAGAATGCAATTCATCTCATTATATATGAAGAGCACAATTTTTCAAGTCTCTGGTTATACACAAACTATTTTCACACCATTCGTGTCTTCATACGTGTACTTAGGGAAATGATATCTAACTCATTCCACTGTCTTTCCTACTCCCATTCCCCTTCCCTTTCATTCCCTTCCCTTGCTTTGTTCTTTTTGTTCAAGAGTGCTTTGGTTATTCAATTCTAAAAGATCCTATCTAAAATATGTTTTTAAAAGATTATATAAGGAACAGAATGCTAAAATCCATCTTCACCTTGCCCACAACAAAACAAATGTTGTAGTTTGAGAAAACCAGAAATAAATCAATAAATTAGCAGAGGTTACTATGAGAACAATGAGACCTCCTGAGGTAAATTACTCTAAACTTAATGAATTTTTCTTACAGTATAAATACTAGGGGTAAATATCATATACAACCAAAAGAAATTTTTACCTGATTTGGGACTCTGGAGTTTTACGTTCTAAAAGAACAAAAGAAAAGTGAAAGAATTATTTATTTATATAAATAAATAATTTATATAAATAAATATTATTTATTTATATATACACACACACACATTATACAAATTCAAAGCAATAAATGGCATTTCTGTAAATTATTTTTCAAAATATATCTATAGAGGTGAAATGTAGACCAAATTTTTCCTAATTCATAAGTGTGCTTCAGTACACAGTTTTATATAAAATTTTACATATTTTTTTCTTATATCACATGGCAATTAGTCAAACATTGATCCCCTTCTGACTTATTTCTTTCCTACTAAAACACTTTCTTGAAAATTTACTTGGAAGTAAGTTGTTGAAATTGTAATCACTTCATGACATTAGAAAAGGAGTGATTGTTCTTTACTCTGAGAGTTAAGATAAAGACCATTACTTGTGTACATATTATTAACATTAATAACAACAGTTACTAGTACATTAAAATTATAATTTAAGAGGTATAAAATATATTACCTATCATCATTGTAATGTAGGAACTTTTAAGTGTTGAGTTAGTTACTTTTTTATTTTTGYAATTTTAATATTGTTGGTTCAAAGAATATACAGAAATGCATAGCAGATTGTTAGAAGTGTAGATTTTTTTTCTTCCAGATGCAGGAAACATATTCCAAAAGGTCTATCTTAAATAATATGTACACATGTCATTTTAAAAATTACTCTTTATAATGTTATCAAAACTAACATGATACAGACTATGAAAAAGCTACCATCATATAAAATATTTCTTTGCCTTAACTTTAAGAACCAGCCCAAATATTTCTTCTTTCACTGTCTTCTTGATCACTTCCAACCTGAAAGTATCTTCTATGCTTTGAATCTCCTTATCTTTTACAGAATATTGATTATATTTATCTTGCTATAATAAATATAGATAAGATGAAGTCTTATGTATATATCCTGTATCTCAACTTCAAGTTTCTTAAGGTCAATAATTGTGTCTTACACATTTTTCTTATTCCTCACATCCTCCAGAACATTGTATTTAATGTCTACTTAAGAGAATGATAGGTGCATGGAATGAAATTATAGTCTGTTCAATCTACATGAACCAAATCAGAAAAAAAGTTATTGACCTTGCTTGGCCTAAGTCTCACAGAGTCATCAAGTGTCTTTGATTCAGATGTTCCACTCCATTCCAGTGAGGTTCCAGTTTTCACCTTCACAGTTGGAGATGAGGATGTGGGAGCACTCGTTGAGAATTCGCCTAGAAGAAAGTGAATATGGCCCAATTCTTAGGAGTGGTACTCTTCTTTGAGAAATCAAATGTTTTGCTGGGTGTCATAGCACACACCTATAATCCCAGTGGCTGAGAGTTGAGGCAGGAAAATTGTAAGTTTGAGGCCAGTCTCAGCAAATTAGCAAGGCCATAAGCAACTTAGTGAAACCCTATCTCAAAAATTCAAAAGGACTGGAAATGGATTGGGGTTGTGGCTCAGTGGTAGAGTGCTTGCCTAGCATGTGAGAGGCACTGGGTTTAATTCTCGGCACCACACATAAATAAATTAAAGGTCCTTAGACAACTAATATATATATATATATATATATATATTTTTTTTTTTTTTAAGGGGGATGGGGAAGCTGGGGATGTAGCTTGGTGGCAAAGCACCCTGAGGTTCAATCCCAGGAACAACAACAACAAAATGTTGCTCATCAGTAGTACACAGAACACTGAAGAGAACTGAAAAGTAGCACCATATTATATACTTATTCAACTGTACTCACCTGCTTCCTCTACTACAATAAAAGACTCAGGTGTCCGTTCAGGAAGTGGAGGGGGGATTTCATCATCCATTCTAGGAAAAGTTGCTATCCAAAATGTCAGAAATACAATCACAAGTTTTAATAAGAACAATTCAAAGGAAATTCTTTTATTATAACCTAATGCTAAACATAAATTTAATAGAATTTATATTTAAATTCCATTAAAGCACTAATAACTATCTAGCTGGTATTTATTCACTCAAGGATAAAAGCAGCAGAACAAATTTGCTTTAGGTACAAACCCAGGAAGTTTTTACTTATTCTTCAATTTTTTTTTTATTTATTCTAAAAGCCCAAAAGTATTTTTGATTGAGTYACTAAGAATTAGGATGCTTTGGACTGGTTTCTGCATAACTCTTTCCTCTTTTTCTTTTCTTTTTTTATATTGAATACATAATAAAGTAAGCACTTTGACAAGCTGAAGATTCCGTTATACAGCAGATAAAATTATAAAGATTTTAGTATGCCTTCTTTATTCCACACAAAATCCCAAGAATATGGATGTTTTTCCTTTTATTTCTTTTTTACAAAACAAAGGTTTTACAGAAAATTTTAAGTTCTATTATAAGAAACTGCCACCAGATGGCATATGTGTCAATGTTGCTACAATCCTTGAAAATAAGGATTTTTTTTTTTTTGGTTTTTTTTTTTTTAATGATTATGATGATCTGAGAAATCTTAGGTATTTTGGTTGTATAGAAAAAGAAGAAACGCTTAAATTATAAAACAAGATCAAAGTATATAAAGTAATCAAAGAAGAAACTTCCTAGAATTCAGATAAAATATTTTTGCAACAAAACTACAAATAATCTAACATCTATCTATAGAGGAACACTGTACATGGGCTGGTAGTGTAGCTCAGAGGTCAAGACCTGGGTTTCATTCCTGGGACCAACGAAAAGAAATTTTAGAATAAAGGATGTCATAAAACAAAACTTTTTCTCTACTAAGTAGAATGTTCTTAGTAAATTATTTGATGGTATGCTTAAGAGAATTAAAATTACTCTTTACTTTCCCTCACCTGTTTTCACATCAAATTATTATAACCCGAGCTGGAGATATAGCTCAGTGGTGAAAAACACGCATAGCTTGTCTGAGGCTCTGGTTTCAATCCCTAGTAATAATTATAATAGTTTCTTAGCAGGATCTTCACTTCTACTTTCAGATGAATCCATTAAACAAAACAATATATATAATATGCAGAATCCAGAATTGTAAAACAGATAAAATATGAAAGTAAAGGTGTGTCCTAAGATAAAAGTTTTACACAAAATACCAAGCAGATATTCGCATCTATTAAGTTATTACAAAAGGGCAGGAAATCAGGTCCTCCCCTTTCAACTCCTGCAGGAAAAGAATTGAATGCTTTAACAATATGTTAAACTCATTAGAGCAATATGATTGTGCAACACAACTTTCGGATGTGATACTGCTGATCAGATATTTTCCACTGTTCTTTGGAAGCTGTTTATGTGTATTAACCGTGGGCCTTTGATAATTTCTAGGAATGAGGATTGCCTCCTTCAGGAGTTCTCTTGTTGACTCAGATCCTTTATTAGATCTGAGTGCCTTCTCTACCACCTGTTTCATAGAATACTACATTTGATACGTTTTCAGCTTATCACATTGTTAAAATACTCTGGAGTTTATTTCTTTAAAGATGAGAAGAAGAAAAAGAAGCAGAGGAAGAGATGGGATAGGATGAGAAGAAACCAAATATTCTGTAGAGCAAAGTGAAATCTAACAGGCTACAAAAACTTTAAAAAGTAACTTACCCACTGTGATTGCTTCTTGTTTCAGTGATGGAGAAGAATTGATCAGAGGATTCAATGCCAAAGAATCATATGAATTATAATAAGAAAAAAGGGTTGAAGAGGATGTTGGCAATGAAGAAGAAGGCAAAACAGTTACATCTTGCTTTTCAGGTAAATCAAGGGACATTTTAGAGTCAGAACTACTTGGAGGCAATGATGAAAAATAAGGATCTTCCACCAAAGACATATAAGAACAGACACCAAATGCACTGGAGTCATGCTGCTTTTCATTAGAGGCATTACACATTTGGTGCTTAGAGTTATGTGGCAGTGAATAATTCAGTTCTTCTGAAGAAACGTGCATCACTCTTTGAGACTGCAATTTGACAAGATGAGAATCATGAGGTTGAGTTTCCAAATATGAAAAGGTTTCCTGAATGTTCAACTCCTTGCTTTTTCTCTGCTGTGTGAATTCAAAGGGAGTTGATTTGGTCCGTGTTATTGGCCCCTTTGAATTAAAACCCCTTCCTTCTGCATTTACAGGCTTAGCATTAGAATAAGCCCCAAACAAACTGGAGCTGAAGTCCAAACTTTGATGCTTGTGAAGGGGTTCCCCAACTATTGGTAATGGCTTAGTCTGCCATTTCGTGGTTGTGTCAGCATTTTTGTTACAATCATAATTTAACTCCAAAAAGTCAAAAGAAGGGCTTGACTTAGCAAAGTGCAAAGTGAAATCTTCTTTTGCACTTATTTCAGAAGCCCTAAAGTTGAAGGAAGAAGCTTCTGCAATTTCTTCCTTTGTCCTTTGTTTGCTCTGCTGTTTCATCATTTTCTCTTCTTTTATGGTGCTGAAAAAAAAAAAAAAAAGTAATGACAATGTCATGCCTCAAAGAGGGCTTTTCCCAATGTAACAATGAAGTACAAGCATGATATTCTTCTCCCAATTAGTCAACATTTGGGTATGTAAAATTGTACTCACCATTCTGGTAAATTAGGGAAACAAGAATTTGTTTGTTGAGTAAGATTTTGTTCAGGAATGAAGTACACTGCTTGAATCTTAAAGAAATAAATCAGAGATGGTTTTTTAGTAAGGCCATGTTCATGAAATATTTTAACATTCAGAGGACCAAGAAGTAATTTTTCAGGAAATATAAAAATCTAATTCGTGAAAGATTTAGATGAGCTTCTGAAATATTGAACCCAGCAAAAACTTGTTCATATACTGAGATTAAAAGTATCAGAATAGGTCTGGGATTGTGGTTCAGTGGTAGAGTGCTTGCCTAGAACATATGAGGTACTGGGTTTGATTCTCAGCACCACATTAAAAAAAATGAATAAATAAAGGCATAAAATACATTTTTAAAAAAAAGTATTAGATAAAGGATAAATTTACTAATAGTATCATCTTTTCAAACACAAGAGTTTTAAAATGTGGGCTGGGGATGTGGCTCAAGCGGTAGCGCGCTCTCCTGGTATGCGTGCGACCCGGGTTCGATCCTCAGCACCACATACCAACAAAGATGTTGTGTCTGCCAAGAACTGAAAAATAAATATTAAAAATTCTCTCTTTCTCTCCTCTCTCACTCTCTCTTAAAAAAAAAGAGTTTTAAAATGTTCTTAGGGGTAACTTCAATCTTTAGAACATTCTAACTTCAGAAATTTTAGCATGTCAATCAATTAATAAGTGCTTATTAGGTCCCTGCATCTATCTCAGCTTGTTTACTCTTCCTTCTCATTTGCTCCAGGTATAATGGTCTGCTTGCCATTCTTCACATGCCAAATTTGTTTCCAGTCCAATGCTTTTACACTTAGTATTCCCTCTGATTTACACACTCTTCTTCCAGATTTTGCATGGTTGCCTCTTTCTAAGTAATTGGWTCTCTGCTTAAATGTCATCTACATAAGGAAATTGTCCCTGAATACTCAACCTAGAGTCATATTCCCATACCTATGTAGCCACTCTCAATCTTTATTTTGTTAGAAATTAAGAAATTTGTTACTGGGGCTAGGGTTGTGACTCAGCGGTAGAGCATTCGCCTAGCACATGCAAGGCCCTGGGTTCGATCCTCAGCACCACATTAAAAAAATAAATAAAATAAAGATACTGTGTCCAACTACAACTAAAAAAATAAATATTTTTTTAAAAAGAAAAAGATGAGGTAGAGAGAGAAGATGGGAGGGGAGGGGATGGGGGATAGTAGAGAATAGGAAAAGCAGCAGAATACAACAGACACTAGTATAGCAATATGTAAAACAGTGGATGTGTAACTGATGTGATKCTGCAATCTGTATACGGGGTAAAAATGGGAGTTCATAACCTACTTGAATCAAAGTGTGAAATATGATATGTCAAGAACTATGTAATGTTTTGAACAACCAACAATAAAAATTTTAAAAATAATAAATAAATAAATAAATAAGAAATTTGTTACTGTGATTCATGGACTCTTAAGGTACCATTGATTAGAAAGTATATGCTGATTTCATGGATGGAGTTAGAGAATATCATGCTAAGTGAAGTACACTAATCCCAAAAAAACAAAGGCCAAATGTTTTCTCTGATACGTGGATGCTAATCCATAATRGGGGTGAGGCATGGGATGAGTAGAGGAACTTTGGATGGGGCAAAGAGGGGTAGGGCATAGGGTAGGAAAGATGGTGGAATGAGATAGACATCATTACCCTAGTTACATGTATGATTGCACAAACGGTGTGACTCTACTTTGGGTACAACCAGAGAAGTCAAAAATTGTGCTCCATTTGTGTACAATGAACCAAAAAGCACTCTGCTGTCATGTATAACTGATTAGAATAAATAATAAAGTATATGCTGATTTCAGACATATGAAAATGTAAAAAAAAAAAAATACTACTTGCTATGGGTTTGTGTCACCTCAAAAGGTATGATGAAATCTAACCCATGATATCTGTGAACATGATCTTATTTGGAAATAAGGTCTAAACAGATTGTAATTAGTTAAGATGAGGTCTGATACAGGCAAAGATTGGAGTATGTTATCTAAAACACAATGAATGCAAAGGATTGCCAACAAACAGAGAAACAAAGAAAATGCAAGAAAGACTCTTCCCCTAGAGCTGTTAGAGCCTAGATCTGATGACACCGAGATTTCAGACTTCTAGCCTCCACAACCATTAGAAAATAAATCTCTGTTGTTTTAAGTGCCTCCTATTTGTAATACTTATTATACCAGCCCTAGCAAACTATTGTAGAGACTTTCATACTCACTTTTAATAATGGATAGAAAGACCAAATTGAAGATTGGTAAGGAAATAGAGGACTTGAAAAACACTGTAAGCTAAAGAGACATAACAAGCATATATAGAATACTCCACCCAACAGCAGCAGAATACATATTCTTCTCAAGTGCAGAGAACATTCTCCTAGATAGGCCATATGCTAGACCACAAAACAAGTTTCAACACATTTTTAAAAGACTGCAATCATACTTTCTTAATCACAATGAAATGAAACAAAACTAGAAATAACACAAGGAAAACCTGAAAATTCAATATTAACACAATTAATGGATTAAACAAGAAATCTCAAAGAAATTAGAAAATACCTGAGACAAATGAGAACAAAAGACAACTAAAGTTATAAGAAACAGTGAAATCAGTGCTAAAAGGAAAACTTAACAGCTGTAACTGAATACATTAAAACAAAAAGATCCCAAACTATAGCCTTTTATAAGGAACTAGAAAAAGAAAATTAAATCAAACCAAAGCTAGCAGAAAGAAGGAAATAGTGAAGATTAAAATGGGAGATAAATGAAATGAAGACTAGGAAAAGACAGAGAACAAATCTAAAAGTTTGTTCTTTGAAAAGATCAACTAAATTATCAAACCAAGATTTAGTCTTTGGAAAAAAAGACTCAAATTACTAAAAGTCAGAAATGAAAATGTGGACATTACTACCACTTTTACAGTAATAAAAAGAATTATAAGAGAATGTGATGAACACTTGTACATCAACACATTGGATAACCTAGATAAAAATGGGTTTGCCAATCTACCAAAACTAAAGAAAAATTGAAAATCTGAATAGACCTACAACCTACAACCTCCCAACAAAGAAAAGTCTAGTAGCAAAAGGCTTCTACCAAACTTTAATACCAATCCTCCACAAATTCTTTCAAAAAATTGAACAGCACCTGTCCTAACTCATTCTATGAACTTAGTATTTGCCTGTTACCAAAGCCAGACAAGAGAATACTCCAAGAAAAAGAAAATTACAAGCCAGGTACAGTGGCATATCCCAGTAATTCCATCAACTCAGGAGGTTGAGGCAGTGTCAGCAATTTAGCAAAATTCTGTCTCAAAAAAGAAAATTTAAAACGGTTGGGGAAAACTCAGTACAATCCCCAGTATGGAAAAAAAATAGTATCCTTTATGAATATTGATGTTAAAGTCCTCAACAAAATATTAGCAAACCAAACTCAACTGCATAATTTAAGGATTATACACCATCACCAAGTGGTATAAACTCAACTGCATAATTTAAGGATTATACACCATCACCAAGTGGTATTTATTCTCAAAGCAAGGATAGTTCAACATGAAGAATTGATATAATTCATCACAATAATAAGATAAAAGGAAAAACCCCACATGATCATCTCAATTGATGCAGAAAAGTCTAAGATAAAAATACTTATCAAACCAGGAATATAAGAAAACTTCATGGACTTGAGATGTAGCTCAGTGTGAGAGTGTTTGCCTACAATGTATGAAGCTCTGGGTTTGATCCCCAGTGATGCAAGAAAAAAAAAAGGAAACTTTCTCAACACTATTAATATCATATACAAAAATGCACAGCTAACAATATATTCAATGATGGAAGACTCAAAGCTTTACAAGCCCTAAGAACAGAAGCAAGACAAGGATGTCAGTTTTGCCACCTATATTCAACATGTATTGAAGTTGTAGAGTTCTAAAGTTCTAGCCTAAGCAATTACAAAAGAAAAAAAAATGAAAGGCATCCAAATTGGAAAAGAAGAAGTAAAATTATCTTTATTTTCAGATACGATCTTCTGTCAGGAGGATTACACCAAAAACCTGCTAGGGGTGGGTGGGAAGAATAGAGGTATTTTGGACTAGGCGGGAATTTAGAGAAGGGAGGGATCATGGGGACAGGAATCAGATATTAATACCCTATGTGTATATATGGTTACATGACCTGTGTAACTCTACATCAGTACAACCAGACAAATGAAAAGTTATGYTCCATTTATRCATGATGTGTCAAACAAAATGCATTCCACTGTCACATATAACTAATTAGAACAAATAAAAAAATTTTAAACCTGCTAGAGCTAATAAATTCAGTAAAATTTTCAGGATATAATATCAATGTTGCATTTCTATATGTACTAGCAATGAACCATATAAAAAGAACATTAAGAAAATAATTCTATATATGACATAAAATAAGATACTTAGGTATAAATTTAACCAAGGAGGCAAAAAACTTGTACACTGAAAACTAGAAGGCATTGCTGAATGAAATTAAACAAAATATAAATATATATTCCATGTTCATAGAGTAGAAGCCTTTACACTCTTAAGGTAACAGTATTACCTAAAGTAATCTATAGGGTCATTGCAATGCTTATCAAAAGCCCAGTGGCAAGGTTTAAGAACTCATATTTCCTCATTTCAGAATTTGCTACAAATCTACAGTAATTAAAACACTGTGGGCCAGCCATAGTGGTACATGCCTAAGGCAGAAGGATTAGAGGCCAACCTGAGCAACACGGCAGGACTCCAACTCCAACCAAAACAGTGTGGTATTGTTGTAGGATGGACTATAAACCAATGTAATAGAACAGAGAGCCTAGAAATAAACCCTTAATTATGTGGGCAAATGATTTTCAACAAAGGTGCCAAAATCATTCAATGAAGTATAAATGGTTCTAGGAAAACTAGATATCCAAAAGAATGAGGTACCTTCAAAATATACAAAAGCATATCCAAGAATTAACATGAAATTTATCAAAGATAATTATGTATGGCATGTACATCTCTGTAAGAGCTAA